CAGGACAATTTTATACTGCATTTGTGATGACCAAACAAAATGCATTTTATTTTAGCCATAACAGGTTTAAACTACCTGTCCAAACACCATGACTTCCTGTGTCACATATTAGAAATATAAAATGGTTACTTCCATATATGTTGTACACTATACTTTACTTTAAATATACTATTTTAAATTTATTTTTACATTATTTAAATAATAATAATACACATCAAAACAAAACTATGTACCATAATACTAAATTAACTCTGAAGGGTACTAATCCACTGTAGCTAGTGATTACTTTACTTTATCCACTTCACTGTACTTTCCTGATCTGTTGATGAACTGGATAAAGCACAATTAAATGAGACATATTATAAAATAGTGAAAAAGAAAATTATTTTATGCTATTAGTCTAAAAGGTTGGAAGTAATGACTGTAAAGTAAGGTCACTGCTATGACCTTACACAAAAACAACTCAGTTTAAATTGTACTAGTTTAGACATTATAAAATACAGTTAATAGTAGAGACCAGCAGTTAGTGTAATGGCTATGTCACTGGACTCCCATGTAGTTGACCATGGTTCGAGTCCCGGACCTGGTGGCTTAAACTCATGCCGGGCGTGTGTGTTTGCGTGCCCAAGATCCCGAGAGGAGAATGGAGGAGAAGGGATTGCAGCGTGGCCATCCCCCCTGGGGGGTGATTTCTCACTTTCTATCTCTCTGTTTCTGTCTTTCTGGCGAGCGCACGCGCCCTATAGCAAAAACCTCTCCAAAAGAAAAAGAAAAAAATATATAGTTAATAGTATTAACTTTTTAGCCCCTGGATCTATTTTAACCTAATCACAGTATTTATTCTAAGTCTAATTGTAAACCGTTTAGTTTAGTACCATACGAATATAAGAAAGACTCTTTCATACATTATCTTAGACCTCATTTTGTTTCAATCTAACAGTCTATCAGGGATGTAAGTAAAATATATACATTTTAATCTTATGACTTTACCAGCCTTCTGGTCCAATTTACATAAACTAGATTCTGCGTAATAGCCCCCCAAATAGCCCTTCATTTCAAGCACATAACCTTAGTTCCATCCCTCTCTTCGTAAGCCATTTAACTGAAGACTTGATTAAGAAAGAGGAACTTGCCATAACCTCTTGACTTGGCATCAATATCAATATAGTGAACTATTCAATCAAGACCTACATGATTTTATCTGAAACTTCCTCAGGAAAATGTATTCGTTTAGAGGACTTCAAGATGATTTATTACTTCTTTTAATTCATTATGTAAAATATTTGCAACAGCTGAGCAGCAGTGACACAGTGATCGCAATCTGGCCTGTAATGCAAAACCATGTGTAAGATTGGGGTTCAGTTCCTTGGTCGGCCTGAACTGTGCAGGCATGCGCACAGACCTGCGATACTGGCTGGTTGTAAAGTCTGGAGAGAGGATTCCAGTGTTACACCTTGTGACAGTGACTTTATCACATAAAAGAAAGATATAAACTTAAATATATATATGTATATATATACATAAATTTATCACATAATTTCCCTGAATATTTATGTTTAAAAAACATTGGGGGGGGCAGCAGGTGGCGTGGTAGTTAAGGGCTCTGGTCACACATGGCTGACTACAGTTTGAGTCTTGGTCCTGGAGAGAGACTTTCTCTCTCTCTCTCTCTCTCTCTCTCTCTCTCTATCACTCTGTTCCTCTTTGGTCAAATTAAAAATTAATAAATAAGTTAAATAAAATAATTCTTTAAAAAATTATAAGTAACAAATTATGATATAAAGGTACAATGAAAGCAAAATACATTTTATAAATACAGTAACATAAGTTGTAAACTCTAAGTTTAGAAATAAAGATGATTGAGGCTAGCAGGTGGCATGGTGGTTACGGCACTGGACTCCCACATGGCTGACCTCAGCTCAAGTCCCAGACCTGACAGCTTGCTTTCTCACTTTATCTGTCTCTCTTTTCCTCTCTCTCTGGTGAGCATATGTGTCCTATCGAAAATTTAAAAAAATAATAATAGTGCTAAATAAAGTTAAATAAATAATTTTAATAAAAAATAAGACAATGGGAACCAGCAGTTAGCGTAATGGCTGTGTCGCTGGACTCCCACGTAGTCGACCGTGGTTTGCGTCCCGGACCCGGTGGCTTAAAACTCATGCCGGGCACGTGTGCGTGCGTGCCCAAGATCCCGAGAGGAGAAGGGATTGTGGCGTGACCATCCCCCCTGGGGGGTGATTTCTTGCTTTCTGTCTCTATGTCTCTCTTTGTCTGTCTGGTGAGCGCACGCGCCCTATAGCGAAAACCTCTCCAAAAAAATAAATAAATAAATAAGACAATGGACAAAATATTGAAGGTGATTTTGTGTAGATATGATGAACCTGCAGTAATTTTTCAAAACTACTTTTTTCTATTTTTTAAATGTCGTTCCATGTGTATGCATTAGTTGTTAATGAACAATAAACATTAATAGACTTATTACATCTATGAGCACTTAAAAAAGATAAGTAGCCCCAAGCCTTGACATCTAGTGTTAGTGTTAAAGACAACTTAATAAAAAAAATTAATAAAATGTTTTAAAATTATAGATGTTATGAAATCATGAAGTAGGTTTTCCCAATGTATTTGAGAAAAGTAATAAATTCAGTTTTCAAATCACCACTCCAGAAAGAAAGAAATCTGTTCTGTTCTAGGTAACAGGACCATAGTTCGACTTCACTCTTAGCCTATCAGTCACCTAATCACAATCTACATATACACATCCCACTTTACAGAACACTTTTACTTACATAATTCAGGTAAATATCTAGTTTACCGAAGTAGAACCAAAATAGTAATAATAGTGCCAATGTAACTACTTGTAGTTAACCTCTCTACCTTTTTGTTTAGCCACGTTTTGAATTGTGCAAAGTTTCTAGATTACGCATTAAATGTATGGAATTTAATAAAGACATCTAAAATAAAAAATTTGAATTATTTTATAAAAGGGTCTCAAATATATTTTATTAAAAAACTTCATTTGTATATGGCAAATTCCTTTTGAAAAGGTTGGAAGTCCTTCTATCCTAATTTTAGGGCAGAAGTTGAATTTTTGTGTGTGTGTGTGAAGGTCAAGATCACAAATTATTAGGGCTTCTTGGGCCATTTAAAAATGCAAAGCCATTCTTAGTTCACAGGCAATACAAAAAGGAAATGAAAAATGAAGAAAAGCAGTAGACCACATCCTGCCCACAGACTGGTCTGTCAAACCTGTTCTAGTGTTATTTTCAATAACTTATCTGGAAGTCATTTCTCTTGCTACAGCCCACTATCTAGAACTATTTTATTTTCCAGAATCCCACATTCAAAATTTTATATTAACTTTAAAGTCTTTCTCAGTCATGTCCTTAATGAAAACTTGCCAAGTGTCCTTAGCCAACTAGCACTACTCTTCCTTTGAAACCTCATAGCATTTTGTAGCTTCTCTGATTTTACCGACTACTGACTTTTGTCCAGAGGTATGCCAAGCCTTCCTACTAACATTTCATGGGAGGAACCCTTTCTTACACATTTTTAATTGATTATGATACTTGCACATAGTGGCAGATTAATAACTGAAGTGTAACTATACAACAGCCTCCTTCTTAGATGTATTCCCCAGTGATTTAATAATAGCTTTTAATGGCTAAAATAATAGACATTAAAATTTATCATAGTTTTAGGGCCAGCAGGTGGCATAGTGGTTAAAGCACTATGGACTTTCACATGGCTGACATGGTTTGAGTCCCAGACCCAGCAGCTTGAACTCATGCCAGAAGGGTATATGTATGCCAAAATCCTGAGAGGAGAATGGAGAAGAAGGGATTGCAGTGTGGCCATGTTTCTTTCTTTCTTTTTTTTTTTTTTCTGTCTCTCTCTGTCTCTCTGGCAAGTGGACACATTCTACAATAAAAATCTCAAAAAATTAATCATATTTTTAAAACACAGCTGGATTTTATTAATACAAACTCATGAAAAAAATTAACTGGAATCAAGAAGAATTCCCTCTGCACTGGCAGGGGAGACAGACAGCAGAGAGTAAAGACTATGGAACCAGTTATAAGGTACAGGATGCTATATGAGATGCTATATGAGAGCCAGCTATATACAATCCAGTTGTTTAAGGACACAATTTGGTCCTTTCACTGTCCTCTGAAAGTTGAGAAGAGTATCAGAGGGATCTGATTATCATGACACTCCTCACACAAGAGGAATAAAACTATCCTATTTACACATAGGAGCCCCTATCAATCAGAAATTAACATGGTTTCAGAGAAGAACTTAAAGTGAAGTTTATAACTTCTTAGAAAAGTTTTATATTTTTATTTAAATATGAAGTTCTATTACACAGATACAATAGGAAAGCTTAGACACTCTGGAATCACCCTGCCTACATCCAAATCCAAAGTATGCCCCTTATTAACTATGTAATCTTGGCAACCTAAGCTTGCTAAGCCACAATTTTTTCATCTGTGAAAAAGAGACAATGATAATATAACCTAACTCATGGAGAGATTGAGTGTAGAAAGGATATGATGATTTGATATATTTAAATATTTAGAACCATGCCTGGAACCTTGTAAGCACCTATGAATGTTAACTATGTATATATAAATTCATATATAACTAAGAACAAATAGCATTACTAGTATTGAGTATCCTCTAAAAAGCCACACAAACCCTTGCCTTCAGACATGTGTTGTGTTTTATTTGATTCTTGAGATAGAATTACCATAGGAAGGAATTTACAGAAAATAGGAAACAGCCTATATGAGAATTATTATTTTTGAATGCAATAGAAGGAAAACAAGCAAGCTGAAAATACATGTATGATTATGTGACAAAGAGAGAAACAGGAAAAATATTGAATCCCTCTAGCATTATCACAATAGTATTTCCCAAGATTTGGCAGAATGCAATGACCAAAATCAGATTCCATGCATTGGACAATGGCAGGTCAACTCAACGGCCATACTTACCACCTTTCTCCACCCTAGGGAGACCTGCCCTTTTGTCTTTCATCTTAGCAGTGCTTCTTTCCCAAAGCTTACTCTTATCTTCTTCCTTTTCTTCCTTGGGAATATGTTTCCTGGACTTCTCAGATAAATTCTCTGTATTCTCTTGGGTTCCTTTCTCTATTTCTTCTTCAAAAATATTCTCAAAGTTTTCCTCTATTGGTAGAGGCTGGGCTTCCTCATCTGCTTTTGTTATCTCATGGTCTTCAATTTCAATTTCTAAGGATTCCTCACTTGGAAGGTGGGATTTTCCTGGCTCATCATTTTCACTCAGCTCCTGAGAAGATGAAATTCTGACACTTTCACCTGTACTGTTTTCATCACAGGCTTCTCTTTCTCCGACAGTGGAGTCGTCTTCACTGCCACTGGAATATGGGCAACTTCTGGATGAGGTTGACAAAGCAGTTTTTATATCTACAAAAAAAAAAAAAAAAAAACCAAAACATGATGACATTATTCATTCTTGTTCTATAAAACAATTGGTTTGATTGTATGGATTATGTTAATAATTAGTCATACTAAAAATTTTATCCTTTAGTAGATTTGATACCTATTTCCTAAATGATCTGTATCATTGTCATGATAGAGAAAAACCTATCTAATCTATAGAAGTTTTCAACAGATGATCCCATTTAATGAAAATCAGCCCAGTTATGGTTTGTTTGTTCATTTGTTTGTTTTTTCTCCATGATCCAGAGACACACAGAGAGAGAGGCACATTACCCCAACAAGGTCCTGATGCTGTTATTCACCCTCAGTTTCAGCCAGCCCCAGATCATGGGCACATGTGTGCCCAGCATACTCAGGGAAGTCTTCAGAGGTAAAGTTGGAACTTTCCCACTAGGTCAGACTTGCAAAGTATCACATTTTACTTCTGCGATAACTGTCCAACCTCCGACGTTGCTTTTGGGTTTTGAAAGCAACTTTATTGGGAAACCTTTGTAAACACCTACTTTGTTATTTTTTTAATTAGAAAATTATTTGCTTATCCAGGAAGTTCACTCATTTGTTTATCCCCCGTATAGCCACCATATTCTCTGTGAATGTAACATCAATGTTTATCTCCTGTAACATCCATCATCCTAGTATGCCCTGCTATCTGGATATGGTAAGATCTATGCATTTGCACAGTACCTAGACACTTAAGATATTTTTAGATGACGTGTGCATGTGTGCATGTGTCTGTGTGTGTGTGTGTGTGTGTGCGTGTGTGTAGAAAGAGATTAAATCTTATTTCAAGTTCCTAGAAGCAGACACTGAGATGAAGATTCATGTGCAAGTTATGTATTAGGAATGTGCTTCAGGAGAAACTCTTAAGGGAGTTGGGGTGGGGAAGCCTTAGAAGGGGAAAGAAATGTCATTCAAAGGAGCTATTTCAGGCAACAGGTCAGCCTCAGCCTGATCCCACAGGGACTCCTGGAATGTACATTTTATTAGAAGTATATAGTTTATATTTGGAAGGAGCTGGGTTTCATGCTTTGTACCTGTCAGACATAGGCTGTAGGCTACCGTAGGGGGACATAAACTCCCTAGCACTTCTAGGATCTTTGTGCCAGAAGGTAAAGCAACTCCAGTGCCCAGAGCAGTCCTCTGAAGAAGGCAGAGGGTGCAGAAGCTGGGAGATAGGCACATAGTGTCAGTAAAAGAGATTTTTAGAGGATCTAGGCAGTACCTTGAGGCAATGCTGCAGCAATATAGCCTAGAAACTGAAAGTAGGAAGGACAACGGTAGTGATGTGATGGTTAAGGGGCAGCTGGATCCTCCATGGCCAATCGCATGGTTCAACTCCCAGACTCAGCAACTTGAAAAACCTGCTGGTGCATGTGCATATGCTCAAATTCCCAAAAGGAGAATGGAGAAGGGACTGCAGTATGACCATGACCCTATGGGGTGGGGTGCTTTCTCACTGTCCTTCCATTTCTCTGGTAAGCACTCATGCCTTCTAGTAAATTTTTTAAGAGAAAAAAGTAATGTAGAGTAGGCAAAAATGATCTATGTACCACCCCAAAAACTTTAAAAACTCTCCAAGAAAGTAGCACACACATGACCCTCTTTAAGGAAGGTGCATACCATAAAAGTTACTGCATAGAGCTGTGGGCTAGAGAATTATAAACTTGCTTTTGCTTTTTGTTTTACAAACAGATCTATGTTTAGAATTATTTCTTATAATGTGTTTTCAAGTAAAATCTTCTACACTTAAATACTGCCTTGCTTTCTTGTGTTATCTGTGCTTCTCACTCTTGTTTCCGTTTCTTTTCATTCTGCATGGCAGACACACAGACAGCAAGGCAGCTCACAGAGTTTAAAGGAATAAATATCTGTCTTCTCCCTCATCCTCTTCTCTCTGTCCCTCCAGCCCTCAGGCTCTCCAGGACAGGGCTCAGCTTTTTAAGTAGTCTCAGAGACCATCAGAGTTTCCACCAAGACTGGAGAGGTGCTGCTCAGCAGTTAAAAACAAACTCAGAAAAAGCCTTTAAGCAACAGAACGTCTTGAGTCCAATTCCATTTGTTCTTATCTCCTGATACCTTGACTGACACCAGATGACCACTATTTTTCAAAGAAATCACATACTTTAGCCATTCTGTTTTTATTCTCCTTTTTATAAAATCTGAATATGCTGTCTCCCTGTAAGGAACAGAGATTAGGAGGATTTTTCTCCATTTTATTTGTATCAGTTCAGAAACTTTGGGGTTTATGATCTCTCTCTTGCCCTTAAGCATTTTCCATTTGTTTACTTTTATTATTTCTACCATGAGTGAGAGAGAGAAGAAAAGAGAGCAAGAGAGAAAGAGAGAGACAGCACCCCAGCCATGTCTTCACACTGCGATCCATCCCCAGCGATCCATCTCCAGTGACTGCCAGCCCTCAGTCACGGACACGCACCTGTACGGTGTACTTAAGGAAGTGTATGAATGCAAACCCGGAGCCTGGGCCCGCCTCACAGAGCACTGTGTTTTACTGCTGTGCCGCTTGTTAATTTTTTTAAAAGAAAAACAGCATTTACTTATTAGTGGTTTAATGAATGGCTTTCATTAATTGTATAATTAACTAGGACACAATTTATACCTGTTCTGAGCTTCTGAAAATATATCTACCACCCAAATATTTACAAGCTAATTCTTACTTTGGGCTTTGGTACTTATTCATATCTTAAAAAAAAATGCATGCTCCTCTATATTTCTTTAGTAACTTCTACTAATTGTATTATTTTATTTCAAAAGGCTGAAACACATTCTGGTTCCATTCTGAGTCAGTCCTTCACAGTGAAAGATCAGGAGAATGAACAGCCTCCAAGTGGCAAGGGCACCTGACCTCACATATAAACTCATTTTAGTTTTCAAATTTCTTTCTGTCCTCATGGTATAATTTAGTTTCACTTTTATTTCTTGCTCTCATTTTCATACAGACACTGGGGTAAGACTTTGCCTACAAAAAGCTCAAAAAGCTTCAGGGCCGTGGAATGGGATTTTCAAAACTAATTTTATGTATTCTCTAAGAAATAACAGCCATTTTTTACATAAAAACTTTTATATAAAGGAACTCTGAGACATATATGTAAAGTTATTTTTTGTCATTAAGGGGGAAACAATTATCTCAGAGGAAAGGTAATAATAACAACTATGCCTCCTATCCATTTTCATTTGTTCCTATAGCATTCCTTCCTGCTATTAATGCTGAGAGAAACTGCCCCCAGTCTTTTTAGAAAAAAAAATTACACACACACACACACATATATATATGTATATATACACACACATATACACACACATATACACACATATATACACATATATATACACATACATGTATATACACACATATATATACATATATATATATAATCAGAAAAGTCATGATGTATTTTTCATGTTTATGTGTATATATATATATATATCTGTACTCATTTCTAGGCCTTGGCAAAAACAGTAAGTTTGGTGCCCGTTTCATGTCCTAACTAAGATCTTTGACTTTTCTTTCTCCCCATTCAATCAATCAATCCATAATTCGATCAGTTTGAGTGTCATTGATAACTGCTCACTGATATCTAATCCTCTTTTTTTTGCATCATTACAATTAAAATATTATTTTAGGGCCCATTTTTAGCAGCATGGGCAGTAGGGTGCCTCAGTACAATGCTGGAGCCATATAGGAGGTTCATCTCCTGAATCTACCTAAGCACACCAGGTATGCCCATGTGCACACATGATCCTGGCAGGTTGGAAAGCTGGATGAAGAATCATGGTGTAGCAAGATTCTGCTGAGGGTATCTCTTTCTCTCCTCATCTCAAGAAATAAACTTTGAAAAGTCTCATTTCACACAATGAGATTTAAAGAAACAAATATGTTCTACTAAAAAAAAAATATCTAGGTGCGCCATAAAGACTAAGCTACTTGTAGCTTTGAGTTTAGTTATAATACTTAACTTCTGTAAGCCTCTATTTTCTTGGCTATAAAATGGGTAATTCTCCTTGATGTCCACAAGTTCTACAGAAACTACATGGAAAAATTTTAACGTGATCAAATAATCATTTTTCTTGAATAACTTGAAGTCATTCTTACCTCTAAGACATCATAATGTAGAACACTCAAGTAAATGTCTTTCTTGTGATTTTACCTTTATGTTAAATTAAGAGTATCACAGTGGGGCCAGCTTATGGCCCAGTGGTTAATGTGCTAGATCCCACATGGCCAACTCTACAGTTCAAGTCCCAGAGTCACATACCAGGTATATGTAAGAGTATGGCCAAAATCTCAAAAGGAGGGAGAAATAGAGGAAAAGGAATTGTAGTGTTACTATCCCTCATGAAGGTGCTTTCTCATTCTCTCTCTCTCTCTCTCTCTCTCTCTCTCTCTCTCCCTCTCCCTCTCCCTCTCCCTCCCTCCCTCCCTCCCTCTCTCTCTCCCCCTGGAGAGTGCATGAGCCTTCTGGGGAAAAAAAAGTATCACAACTGCAAATTTTTGAGGAATAAAAGGTAAAATTTGACCACTATTACTATATATCAAACAATAAAGTAAGCATGTTACAAACATGTCATTTTATCATGTGGAATAATTATCTTCTTTTTCTAGATCCAGAAAGTGAGGTCCAAAGAAGTTAAATAATACCTAATATGCATTGGTTATGAAGTAGCAAGTTTTGTAAAACACTTTTTATCTGTACCAGCAGATAGCATGATGGTTACGTTGCTGGACTCCCACATAGCCAATCAAGGTTTGTGTCCTGTACCCGTGACTTAAAACTCATACCAGGCACTTGTGCATTTGTACCTAAAACCCTGAGAAGAGAATGGAGGAAAGGGGATTGTAGCATGCCCATCCTCCCTGGGGAGTGATTTTTCACTTTCTTTGTCTCTGTCTCTCTGTCTCTCCTGCTAGTGCATGTGCCCTACAGCAAAAATATCTCTTAAAAAAA